AGTTCCTTGAAAGTGGACTGGTAAGTAGATGGGATAGTGAAGAAGGCATTTGGTATGCTTGCCTTTTTTGGTCATTGCATTGAGTATAGGAGTAGCAAGGTCATGTTGTGGCTGTACAGGATATTGGTTAGGCCACTATTGGAATACTGCATGCAGTTCTGGTCTCCCTGCTCTAGGGGGGATGTTGTGAAAGTTGAAAGGGTTCAGAAAAGGTTGACAGGGATGTTGCCAGCGTTGGAAGGTTTGAGCGAAAGGTAGAGGCTGAGTAGGCTGGGGCTATTTTCCCTGGAACATCAGAGGCTGAGGGGTGACCTTGTAGGACTTTATAAAATCATGAAGGGGATGGACATGGTAAAAAGAACAAGGTCTTTTCCCCAGGGTTGGGGGTGTCCAAAACTGGAGGAGATAGGTTTAAGGTGAGAGGGGAAGGATTTAAAAGGGACCTGAGGGGCAACCTTTTCACGCTGAGGGTGGTGCGTATATGGAATGAGCTGCCAGAGGAAGTGGTGGAGGCTGCTACAATTACAACATTTAAGAGGCATCTGGATGGGTATATGAAGAGGATAGAGGGATATGGGCCAAATGCTGGCAAATGGGACTAGATTAATTTTAGCTATTTGGTCGGCATGGACAAGTTGGACAGATGGTCTGTTTCTGTGCTGTATATCTCTATGACACTATAACTGAAGTGCCAAATCCCTGGAACCGATCTCATTTGGATTGCTAAACTTTTAGAGACTGGCAAAGATTGACCCAAAGCTGATAGAAAGAGGTAAAGAAGCAGGATTAAACTAACTGGGAATATAAAATAGAATATAAAACCTTTTACACCTGTGAGCAGAGAAAAATAACTAAAGCAAACATTTGTCCCTTGGAGACAAAGGTGGAGATTTAGCATGTTGAATGAGGAGTGACCGGAATGGTGAACAAGTCTTTTTGTTTTTATTGTAAAAATCACATTTAAACATTTCTAAAAGGAGCCTGGAAGTAGAAGTCGAAGCCTTTTGTCCATTTATACGTTTTATACAGCATGAGAGAGGGTGTTAATTGATTGATTGGGCTATCATTGGCCTGGAAATGCAACAAAAACAGTTAACCATCAATCTTAGTTCTCAGATCAGGCAGGTATATTCTGGTCGCTGGGGGCATTGTCATGGAGATATGCAAGCGTTTGGCTGCCTCCATCACCCTTTTTTTTAAATGGTGCAGTATATTCCTTTACTGACAGCATCCTGTGTATTGTTACGCTGTCACTGGGGTAGCATGATGGAAATCAAGCCCTACTCTTCCTAGAATCATTACAAACGTTAAAGACATTTAAAAATTACATTGCAAACCCTAGTTTACCTGAATTCAGACAGGTTGACAGACAGCATAGATCAGATTTCTGTACTTCATGGGAATTATTATTTATTACAGGTAAATTGACTCTAGCTGCAGATAAACAATTATGAACTTTCGGTAAATAATTCTAAGAGTTAAAGCTCTAATCCAATTGAAAACATGCATACACGCACCTGTGCGAAAGCATACGTGGGTGTTAAGGGCAGAGGTAAAACTGGGAAGAGAGTTCAAAGTTCTCCATTCACAGAATCTGCTGAAATGGTTCATGTGCTGATCAGAATGCTGCTTCTCTGTGTTCCTTCTTTTGATGTTTTCACGGGTTTGCAGGAGGTGAAGGTGGCTGGATCACTCTTACAAAAGGGCCCTGACTTAATAATTAAAAGCCACAGCTTATAGCAAATGCTGAAGGAAAGATAAACTTGTTTTCTTCAGGCTTTGTGTGGCTTTTACTGCAGAGAACAGAGAGAGCTCCTGAGCTGGTGGAGGTCTGATCGGTTCCAACTGCTTTGTACACAGTCCAAAGCTGTTCAGCTACCTGAGAATCAATCACATAGTTGTTGGCGGGCAGAGGACCTTGGTCACCTATAACTGCTTACTGATTTACAGACCAGCCAGCTGAATCTTCATTTATATCCCTTGGCTCCAGTTCGTCTGCAAACTGCACTTCAGCTACTGCTTGAAAGAGCAGCTGTGTAAACAGTGCTTAGTATGTATGTGCTCTTTAAAACTGCAATAAATCTGTGGCAATCTTTGGTTTCTGAAACTATCTTTTCCCATTTCATTCCACAATTAAGTCTACAGAAAAATAAAAAGGCATGATTTTTACTGTATTCCATGTATGTAACTTCTATCATGTGCAAATGCATCGCACTGTGAACATGAGCAATGATTTTGAATTTGTTTCCGGGGTAACTGTTAATGCATGATTTCCAATACCAGAGTCACATCTAATGGTAGATATATTTTTCTGAGGATTGTAAGCACAGGCTAGTTGAGCATGAGTGGCATACTGCCATTTGTGAATGACCAACAGCACAGAAGTGCTTCAGCGTACAGGAGGCTCATTGTGCCTCTTCCAAACAACAGGATGTGGTGTTGTGTACAGTCCACCAGTCATGGAATGTCGACCTTCACACCTTTCATCACAACAGCGCTAACACACATACTTCGTATTACTCATTTCCGTGATAGGCAAAATGTCTTCTTTTGTTAGATGACTGACAGCAGCGTGTTAGTACAGAAAACCATTCATGAATTTACTGTGTGGTAGCAGAGTAAGACAGCTGCCTTCACCTAGTCAAAATTTTGACACACCTTCTCTTTTCAGCGTAATCTGATGTAGACTGGGCACTGTTGAGGGCCAAGAGTAATGAACTTCTGCCTTTTCATGAGTGTTTGCGGTATGCTGTGATCATGGTATTTGTTATCACGCCAGATAATGTTGATATGCCTTATCTCAACATTGTGCTATTTCCAAGATTGCCAATACAATTGATCTTGTAGCACGTGGGCCTGTAGGTATCCCAACATGTACATTGACCGGTGAATGTGAGTCTTTGGTAGATTGTGCTTACGAACCCATTTTAAAACTTCTCAACTGAGATGTTGACGAAAGGGACCTCTATAAGTGGTCACTTATGGTTTGATGCTCATGAAACTGTTTTTTCTTTAGTTCAGTAAGTCTTTCAGTGACCTTGTATTTGTTAACTGTCTAAGAAATTTGAAAATGCTGTTGGCTTTCTTTGAAAACTCTTAGTAAGGTTTGAAATTATTAACATTTGTTTCTCAAAACTTCTTTTACATGCGTTATTTTCCAAACTATTATTTCCTCCATTTCAGGGAAGTAAGAATCTGCAGACAACTGGCTCATCTGTTCCCGGATCAGAAAAGCCCTTGGGAAATTCTTCTTCATTGGACCCCTCAAAGGACCCATCATTAGCATCAGTACAGCAGACATGTGGTACTGCTAAAGGGTAAGGAGAACTTGGTAGTCTGTCATAGAATCAGCTTGTTACTTGCTTAAAAGAATTCTAATAAATTTGTCAGGCTTGAAGTTTGCCTAATGCTTGTTGGCACCCAGTCTTTCCTCAAAATCTTGGGATTAGTTATAATTCTGTTTTGTTTGTAAGTGGGAAAGCATTGACTTGTATAACCACAAAAATCAAATATTCAGTGTTAAGCTATGATTTGAGAGAATCTTGTTTAGAATCCATAAGGTTCTTGCTGGAGATACTTTGAGAGAGTACAGCAAATCCAGTAACAGGAAAGTATTTAATAATCCATTCCTGTTTGTCTTGGTTTCCCTTGGACTCTTTTTCCAGTTGCTGTGTCTGTCGCTTGTGTCATATACAGTGGCTAAGTCTTTAGATTTAAATTTTGTCTGATGGTGGAATCACCTAACTAAATTGTGCTTGTGCTTCAATTCCCCAGGAGGGGAAAAAGATGCCCTTAGTAACAAGAATTCCTGGTTATGGTGGCAAGAGCTTAGAACCTTTTTTAATTAACCTTCCCAGGATGTGACGTTTATTGTGGGTTGATCAAGAAGCTCAAAATGTTTTAAAACAATCTTGCTCATGCGCACAGTTTGCTAGTAATTGGGCAGTTATTTTTAAGAAATGGATGACCTATTTTTATGCTGTTTGTAGTCTCAACTAGAGTATTTGTGTCCTAGATATGTCTAGCTAAACTTAGATGGAGGAAGCTAAAAGTGAAGAGTATGGAATCAATCAACTGATACATCAGCACTGTCAATTCTTTGATGCACCTTCGCTATTTAAAAATAATACCAACATATGAGTTAGGAGCAGAAGTAGGTACATTGGCCCGTAAACCTGCTCCAACGTTCAAGACCATAGCTGATCGTTTTTGTTTCAAATTGAACATTTCTATTTATCTCTGATAGCTGTTGATTCTTGTAATCTGCCTTCATCTTAAACATATTAAATTACCTCCCCACAGCCTTCTGAGACAGAGTTCCAAAGTCTCTCAAACCTCAGGCAAGACAAATTTTTTCTGTCTGTTGTAAAAGAGGATCCCCTAATTGTATAACAATACTCCCTTAGTATTGACTAATCAATAAGAAGAAATGCCCTTTTCACATCCAACTTGTCAAAACTAATCAGAATTTGTACACTTCAGTCAAGTTAGCCTTCATTCTTCTCAGCTCCAGTGAAACGAAGCCCTGTCGGTCTAACTTATAAGACAACCCACTGTCTCTCGGAGGCCCCTTTCCTGCTGCTTACGCATAAACTCAAGTATGCTTTGTAACCATGTTTCTATCATTCTTAGCTTGCTATTTAAATCTACAAGAAACAGTTGTTTGTGAACTATCACCAGTGATGTGAATCAAAAATTACAGCTTGTAGAGAAACTGGAAAGTTTCCTGGGTGTTCCAGTCTGGCATATTGCCATGTAGTTGTTCAGATGTCGTATGCTTTCGAGGAAGTACTTGTGCTGTAGTATACTTTGAGCACTACTGAGCCATATTGTGCTTTTGTTTTGTACTTTTGTCAAGTATAGATGTATTAAGCTGCTGATGCCTGGAGTTTTCAGGTTGAAAATAAGCCTACCACTCTAACTGTGCATGAACATCAGTCTGAACAGTGAAATGTAATGACCCTGTAAGAAAACAGCCCAGTTTTCACCTATACGTAAGAAGTAAGATGCAGTTTTGGATTTTTATTAGTGTTTCAAAACCACATATAAAAACAAAAAGTGCTGGAAATGTTCAGGTCAGGCAACATCTGTGGAGAGAAACAAGCGTTCGTATTTCAGGTCAGGATGACTTTTCAATACTGTCTGACCTTGAGTATTTCTAGCATTTTCTGTTTTTATTTAAAATTTCCAACATCATCAGTGTTTTGCTTTTGTCTAAAATCTACGTACCTAATATAAATACATTTTAGTGTAGTAATAGTTTTAAAACATTGAAAGGTCGTTGATTGACTTCCATCATTTTCTTCAATGCTTCTGTGTTGCACTGTTGAGGTTAATCTATAGTTTACTAATTCCATTTCCTAAATTAATGAGTGTTTTCTTTGCGACTTCAGGGAACCATTAAAAAAGTGGTGTGCAGATCCTTGCCAAACGCTAAATGAGGGAGCTTTAACCGAAGACAGTGCACTTCAAATATCAGTTAAGAATCAAGCCCTTCTGGAAGAGCCAAAGAGAAATGGTAATGAGGGAGCGAATGGATCATTTGACCAAGAGAACAAGTCCTTTGGATTTGGATTTGGCAGGAATGTGACTGATGAATCTGAGAATAAAGCTGGCACCAAAATCTCCATGGACTCGGGCAGTCTGTCAAATAACTTGTTTTTCCAGTGCATGCCTCAGAATGTTCCACAGAGCAACTACTTCACTGAAATATCTGAAAGTTTATCCAATGACCCTCTCAGTTTCAATTCTTTTAAAATGGCTTCTGCTGCCACAAGCCAGAAAAGTGGTATGGCGCAGGCAGTTGGAATTCCTGTTGGGTTGCATGCAGGAAGTAAACATGGACAAGATACCGAGAAGAAGAACCCTCCTGAGGCCATGCCAACACTAACTCCAGCTTTTCCACGGAGTGCTTCTAATCTTCAGTTTCTTCAGTCTGTTCAACCACCAGACCTTCTAAAGGAGGAAACGCCTATAGTTCCAGGAGGCAATCCATTCCTTGGATTTACAGATCTAAAGGGAAATGTGGATAATTTGCCCACAAGCAGATCACAATCAAGTCTGTTCAGAAGTGATTTTATACGGCCTGCAGCTTCTGCTCCTGCATCAGTTATTGTGAAACCCCCAATGTTGATTAACTGGAAGAAGCCTGAGAAAATGACATCAGATGTAGGTGGCAACAAAACTGAGCTTCCAAAGACCTTTTCACCTCCATTTTGCTCTCCACAAAAGACAGCAATTTTAGGTACTCCCAGACCAGAGTCTCCTGAAACCCCATTTGCTGCAACCAATATTGAGATGCCAACCTTATCCACAAGTCCAACTGGAGATCATAGTGCAGGAAACCTTGCAATCCCAATTTCTGGTTCTGTAGTTCCAGACAGTCCACATCTGCAAACTCTCTCAGACACTCCCAATTCTGGCAAGCAGCAGCAGCCTCTGTTTGCCATTAGTGTATCTGATAATGGCCTTGATGGTTCACCCAGTCAGCAGTCCCAGTTCGATCAGAGAAGGTTTGCTTTAGATGAAAGAAGCTTGGGAATGAAGCAGGACTCGGATTCAGCTACCGACAGTGACCTATCAGATCTCAGTGATTCTGAGGTGCATATGCGATTGCAATCAAAGACTGGTTTAAAAGGATATCTGTCTTACTTGCATGAAACAAGACAGCCAAATGGCGAAGGGAACAAGGAACATATAGGAAAGGGGAGAGGGCGTGGGAGAGGACGGCCTCGAGGAAGACCTCCAAAAAGTGAGTTCACAGTGCTATAAATAAATGAGGTTGAATTTGCAATAACTCTAGTGAAGAGAACAAGTTTAGTTTTCCTTTACATTTTACCTATCCAAATGGTGGGCTGATGAGTTACTCATTCTGGCACCAGCAATTGGCATCCCCTTTGGATGTTGGTTTACCTACTCATAGCAAATGATTGTTCAGTTCTCTGTTAGGCTGGAGACCAAATTTCCAGAAGCAGTGTTTTTTTGTGTATTGGAACCATAGAATGTCATTTTAATGGTAAAGTGTACATTTTAGGGAGACAATTTCTTGTTTTTTATTTGTTGGATTTTGAATTTGCTTTTCATCCTTTTTTGGATGTCTGATACCTTTCCATCAATATCTTTCTGTAAAACCAATTGCTGGAGTACACAGGGTATTTAAACTAGCCATTTGTCCTTTGCAAAACATTGATTGCATTAGCTGGAGAGGAGAGTATCATTTGCTCTAAATTTTCAATTGAAGCATTGTGCGCAATTACAAACTCAATAGAGAGCCAAATCAGAAAAGGATGTGCATTTTCTGGTTGGCTACTCCTGTGACTCTAGAGGAATCCAATGGCATTGAAGTTACAGGCTTATCCACCTTTATAACGTTATACAGGGGACCCCAGTTTACGAACTTCTGACTTACGAATGCTTGTACTTAGGAATTTGATCCTGTGCATTGGTATAATTTTCACGATCTGACAAGAAACCATTCCTCTATTTATGAACGGCTACTTTATATTGGTCTTCATTGCGTTCTGACTTGCGTACAAATCAACTTGCAAGCAGACTCAAGACCGGAGCCCTTTTGCAACTCAGGCACTGCTTGAACAGTGTTATGTGCCTGGTGCTGACAGCTTCTAAACAGAACAAAGGCCCCTTAATTGATATTCAAGTGTTTTACCCTGATTACTGCTTTTATAACAGAAAATATACACCAGGCTGTCCATAACAGAATAGATGATGGTTCTGTTGATGAATCCTGGAGCTATTATTGCCCTGACGAGTTCTTTCTTAGAGGGAAAAGATATGGATTTGTTTTGGGATTTCTGGTTTACAAAGATTTCATTTAACCACTAAATGTGCTGGCAGTCTCATTGATTTCATGAGCATCATTGCATCGGAGTTGATTGATGTGGTGAGATGTTTGGAAAGGGTCGCAAATCCGCATTCAGCCTGTTAATCGTTTGCATCTAGCTGCTTTATGAATCATTCTGCTTTATACAACGAGGCTCTCTATCTCAAATTTAATCTCGTTCCCTCTGGATGTGACTTTGCTTCTGGGTCATGAGTGTTGACTGTAAATATTATTCAGGATTGCGCAGCACCATAGAATTTTGTGACACCTCCGAGCCAATTTCTGTGGCTAGCTAATGTAGATTCTGCAGCAAGTCTGTCTGCTATTCATGACACCAAGTGTTTCAAATGCTAATTTGAAGTAGATTAATGCTGCTCCTGTTTTGAGAAGGATAGTTGCAGTTTCAATTCCAGCCAGGCAAAGAAGTGATTACACAGCTTGTGCCTAGCTGGAACTGCAACTGCTCTATTTCAGAGGGCTCTGTGCTGCAGCTCTGTATTTGCATATATTCCTCAATAACTAGTAATTTAAGCTTTATTTTTCAGTTGAGGACCTTCTCTTAAGACATTGCAATTATTTCGGTTTCTAAAACTGGGTTTATGCTGGCAGCTGCAAATAAAAATGCAGCAAAATAGATGTATTGAATCCCACTCTCTAATTGTATTGTTTAGAAAATGATAGTTATATGCTAATGAGGAATTACCTTTACTTTAATTTTGTCCAAGTTGATCCATTCACTTACTATCTTCTGGGTAATCCAGGATGGAGGACAGGAGAAAATTGTGGCTGTGAGACCTGCTCCCTTTTTAAGTATTTTTCAGTGTTAGAGTTAATTTCCTTGATTTATTGGAGTGGTAATTACTGTTTTATAAGCTGTTGCATTGTTTTGGAACTTTGGAAAAGAAAGATCAAAACAAGGGTACTTTAAAATGGGAGGAAAGAGGAAGAGCAGTTAATGAACTGCCAGAGGAAGTGGAGCCTGGTACAATTATATCATTTAAATGGCACCTGGATGGGTATATTCATTGGGAGGGTTTAGACAAATGTGGGCCAAATGCTGGCAAATGAGACTAGATTAATTTAGGATATCAGGTTGGCATGGACAAGTTGGACCGAAGGGTCTGTTTCCCTCTCTATGACTATAATTCTTATTGAAATCAGTTTCTAAATAACAAGAAGGATATTTCAGCTTCCATGGGAGAATTTTTGAAATGTGGCAGAAGTTTGGTTGAGATTTGGATGACACGATGAATCTACAGAGGGATGTAGACAGGATGAATTAGCAAAGTCTTGGCAAGTAGAATATAATGTGAAAATATGTGATGTTATGCACTTCAGTAGGAAGAATAGAGGAGCCGAATATTACCTACATGGAGAAAGGCTGCAAAAAGCTGCAGCATTCTGGGATTTGGTGCCCTTGTACATGAACTGCAAAAGGCTAGCCCCAAGTTCAGTGGGTAATAGGAAAGGAAGGTGGACTGCTGGCCTTTACTTGGAGTGTAAAATTATACAATTCCTACGAAAATGATCAAAGGCACTAGTCAGATCCTGAAATACTGTCATACCTTTTAGTTTATTTAATATATACTGGCAATGGAGGCAGTCCAGAGAAAGTTCACTAGGTTCAAACAAACAAAAACAGAAATTGCTAGAAAAAATCAGGTCTCCCAGCATCTGTGAAGAAAAAAGTTACCATTTTCAGTCCAGTGACCTTTCTACTGAACTGATTCTAGTTATGGAGAGATTTTCTTAGGAGGAAAGACTGAGTAGGTTTGCTTGTAGTCATTGGAGAATGAGATGAGACGAGACCTTATTGAAACATATACGATTACATGGGGCTTGACCAGGTTGATGCAGAAAGGTTGTTCCCCCATGTAGGAAAGTCTAAGATGAGAGCACATAGTCTTGGAGTAATCAGTCTCCCAATGAAGACAGATGAGGATTTTTTTCTCACCATTGACCGTGAATCTGGAATTCTTACCGTAGAGGGCTGTAGAGGCAGGTGGAGACAGAATTTTAATCAGTGAAGGAAATCAATTGTTATTGGAAAAAGGCAGGAAAGTGGAGTTGAGAATTATCAGATGAGCTATAATCTCATTGAATAATGGAACAGACTTGATGGGACAAGTGGCTTACATCTTATGGTATTATGGAGATGTAAAGAGGAAGTCCGGTTAAATTTGGAAGGTGAGTTTTCAAACAGTGTTTCTTTTAAAATTGTTACAGCAAGCAACAAATGAGGAAGACACTTGAGCTCAAGCAGCTTCTAACTGTACTTGGCAAAAGCCATTTTCGCTATACAGCCAAGTGGAGGTACAGTATGTATGCTTTTCATGGTCAACTGCAGTCCTTATTAAATAACACTGCTGAATCAATGGCATGGGAACTGTTCTATATAGGTGTGAAAGGGTTAAGACTTGATTGAGTTCTGTAAACACCATGCAGTGTGATATTACAAGGGCTTGAACAAAGTTAGGAAATAATTTACATGAGACAGACCAGGGACTTGTGCAGTCCTAACTGTCCTCCTTTTAATTTATGACATGTAATCTGTAAATAATTGCAGTCAAAATATAATAAACTTTATATTATTTACACAACATCTCATCCAGTTAGATCAACAAGACTTTTCCAGTTAGATCAGAAGGGTGAATATCCTTATCCACACTAAACCACTTTGGGCTTGAAGAAATCCACACACAACAGGAACTTAACTGCCATTTTTAGAAGAGCGTAAACATGATGAAGTCAATGTCTTAAAATATCATTTATATGTAATTTGAAACCTGGTAACTAGTATGCTTCTGAGGAACAGGTGATTTATGGTCTAAAGTCACCTATTTCTCCTGAGCATGCTACATTTGCCAGGTCTCAAGTTGCACACAGATATTTCAGGACTTTGAACTGTGATTTTCAAAGCTGTTCACCACTGATGGTTTTCCTTGCCTTGTATCTGGACATGTTGTGGATTAACTGATAGGGATGATTGCTAGAATTTGTCACCATCAATGCTATTATATCATGTGATTCATACCAGGAAGGAAGAAATTGAACTAGGTAGACTTTAGTCTTTTTTTAGTCACTTGTGGGAAATAGAATTTTAAAAAAAGTGTATCTAGTTCACTTTTTAGCCTTGCAATACTTTTATTCCCATTAATGCACCTTTTCAACACTTTGCAGAACCCAGCATGCGAGCTGACTGATCTAAAATATAAAAGGGCAGAGAAATATGCTAATGGCATTCTTTCCTGAAAGAAGGGATATGGTGTGATTCAACATTGAGACTCATCACTCTCTAGAAACTTTAACTGAACTGTAAAGAGGGAGGACTGGAGAAACTTGGCTTGTCTGGCTGCATCTATAGAGAGAGAAAAGGAGTTACTGCTTGAGCCTTCAAGTCTTCAGATGAAGTCATTGAATTTGAAGTGTTAACTCTCTTTTTCTACCTCTACAGATGCTGCCAGACTTGCTGAGTTTGTTCCTCACTGTTTTTATTTCAGATCTCCAGGATCCAGTATTTCACTTCTATTTAGTTTAACTGGATCAGATCCATAAATATTGTGGCTGCAAGAGCAGATCAGCTGTGAATTCTGTGGAAAATGATTCACCAACTAACCCTGCAAAGTCTGTCCACAGTCTGCAAGCCACAAGTCAGGAGTATGAAGGGATACTCCCATCTGTCTGGATGAGTGCAGCTGCGACAACGCACAATCAAAATCTTAACCCCCTCCTGAGAAGACTGTGGCTGTATTTATATTAATGGACTACATGGGCTCTGGAAAGTGATTCACTATTGCCATCTCCAGGCTATTGAAGGAAACATGTAATTACTGGCCCCCAATCCATAATATTTTTTTAAAAGCTAGCCAGTATAGTAGGTGACTAAAAGTATGTTTATCGATGAAGGCGGATTTTCTCCCATGTATAAGTAATGAGTTCTTTATTTAGTGTCTTTTCTGTCCATCAGTTTCTGTTGATCAGTCGGTTTTGAAGGATATGTGTAAGGTGAGAAAGCTGAAGCAGTCTGGAGAATCCTTCTTGCAAGATGGCTCATGTATCAATGTTGCGCCGCACCTACACAAGTGCAGAGAATGTCGTTTAGTGCGTTATCGAAAGTTTAAAGATCATGATGAATCAACAGTCTCCTGCCGTTTCTTCCACTTCAGAAAGTAAGTAAACAGATCTATCAGACAGTAGATGTCAAAATGGGCCTGGTAGCCTCCAGGTGAAAGGGACATTAAGAACGGTGGAGGGGATGAAAGGGGCAGAAGGGGTGGGGGAGAGAAGTTGGCTACACAAAGGGTGCAGAGGGAAAGAAGGAGGTTCCTAGCTGAACAGGGGTAAGAAAAGGAAGCTCTAAAGGATATTGTGGTTGAAAGACTAAGGGGCTGTAAAGGAGAGAATGCACTTTTAATTAACCACGTCACAAAGGAATACTTGATAGGCCAAAAATCTTGAATTCTTTGAGGGAATGAATTCGTCGCAAATGAATGTGGAATCTCTAGCTTAAGGCTACAGACCACCCGGTGCTGCTTAATGCAGCGGAGACTGTATTAAGCATTAAATTTAAATTGGAGATTGAAATCTGTGATGCTGAAAAAATGATACTAACTGTCAGGTTAATATCACACAGTCTCTGCAGTGAAATCATGCAAGCTGTGACCTCACCATTCTGAGGAGAGCGAAAGTGAAAAAGGTTTGCATTGTTTACATACAAAAAATGTGTTATTTTGAGGAATAGAAAAACTTGTGTTTGTTTGCCATTGTTAGCACTGTGGTGTCTAAACCATTTATGCTAAAGATGAAAATGGAAATAAGTCCAAATTTAGAATTGCATGGGGAAAGAAAGAAGATAGATCCTGTTTAGAAGTTTAAAACTCAAAAACTCAAAATGTAAGGCTGTTTACGTGGAGTCTATTGATTCAGCCATTCAGTATAAATGTTATTCACATTGCTGGTAAAGATAATGAGATTGTGGATGGGTTGTCATGGATGCAAAATGCTGAACTAATTTAAGGATATAAAAGATGAGAAACAATTCGATATGATGAGTATAAAGAGAGCAACTGAAGCTCTCGAATTTTGTTGTCACATATCTTGATGTAGTGTGTTTGAAATAGCAATTCATCATTCTTAAGGGTGGAGTCATGTAAAGACCACTTTTTTTTATTTGAACGCAGGAGAATGTGCAAAGAGATGACTAGTTTTAAAATCATTTTTAGTGGAGCACATTGATTACAACTCTCAATGTTGTGCTGAATAATGACAGTAAAAGCAAAGACTACAGAGCCATTTGGTTCTTAACTAAAGGAAAAGTGCTTGACACTTTGGCTTCTGACCAAATGACCATGGCTTGTGTAGGTTAAGTGTAGCAACAAACCATCAGCTTGCAAACAGCAAGCACCTTAAAATTTCTCTCTGTCTTGTGTAGAGGTACCTGAAAGTCTCCAGTAATAGTTAGCTATCTTGCAGTCACCTTTCTCTGCAAGTGCCCTGTTGAAGGAGGAATAAAACTCCTTCATAGATAGTGAGAGGATGAAATCTCAACCAGTGAATGAAGAGCATCAATGCACAAACAGTTGTGTCTCAATAGCAAAGAACCAAAAAGAATTGAAAGGAAGGACAACAAAGAATTCATCGAATACTGTGGTCTAGACCAATGTTCCCTCTTAAGCTGTGCAACTGTTCTGAGGGTCCATATAGGTAAATTAGTGTGTGGATGAATTAACTTCTGGTTGGGGAAGTTACTGCTGTGCATGGAGCTTGGAGGTCTTTGTAGCAAGGGATCTCAGGGCCAGACTGGTGCTATCGAACTCTGTTTCCCTAATTCTTTTTTCCCATTTTCCACCATAATTGACTTCTTTGCCAGTGTGTGTCTGTCTGTATGTTAAAAGCAGAAAATTAAGAAGGGGTAGAGTTTTTAAGTTATAAAGTTGTAACATAGCAATTGCCATGTCCTTTTGGCCATTGATTAGACAATTTGTTTGTGATTTATTTTCCTTGCAAAGTATAGAAATCTGGTGAGTGCCTTTTAACGTGAGTTTGTCATTCAGGTAAACTGGGGTCTGTGGATGATTTGTTTCAAGTCTTACCACATTTATCATGACTGTGAGAATATGGGGGCTTGTTTTGTAGTACACTATCAAGGTGAGTTGTGACATTGCTAACTTCTGAATTTAAAGTTGAACCAAGCCCTGTCTACATTTACCAATGGCTATAAAGGATTTGGGTCAACAAGATGTAGAGCTGGATGAACACAGCAGGCCAAGCAGCATCAGAGGAGCAGGAAAGCTGACGTTTCGGGTCTAGACCCTTCTTCAGAAATTGGGGAGGGGGAGGAGGAAGGGGATTCTGAAATAAATATGGAGAAAGGGGGAGGTAGATAGAAGATGGATAAAGGAGAAGATAGGTGGACAGGAGACACACAGGTCAAGGAGATGGGGTTGGAGCCAGTAAAGGTGAGTGTAGGTGGGGAGTTAGGGAGGGGATAGGTCAGTCCAGGGAGGACGGACAGGTCAAGGAGGCGGGATGAGGCTAGTAGGTAGGAGGTGGGGGTGGAGCTTGAGGTGG